GTTATATTGGCCACAACAACCACTTATCAGCGAGTGGACTATGTACTGGTATATTACCCTTAAAAAACACAGGGAGTCACAAAGACTGCCGACAGAAATGAAAACTCAATGATATATGCATACACATGTATACGGGCCGCTATACTACGCGCCGCTAGTCTGGCGCAAGCGCAATACGTCACGAGCATGTCGAGGTCATTGGTGACGCGAACCCATAAGTTTTTCCCCTACCGAAAATCGCTCAACGCGGCTACGTAAAGAAGTGTTTATTTCAATAATCTGCGCTATTTATTAAAAGGATTTGCATCTATTAAGTAAAATGTCTTCCGTGATACATGAGAAGTTCACAGTAAACATTTTATAAGTATATGAAATAAATAATACCTTAGCTTAATGTGACTTCCAGAAAACGCAAGACTACAGTTTTATAATTCCACTTGACATTTTAGAAGTCTCACTTTCTAGTTAATATGGCTGCTTGTGTATGCAAATTAATTCTCAAGGTGAACAAAGCCCGGAGTAGCGAAATGCAGCCGTCTTGAGCTCTAGAGCCCCTGACGTATGTATATGAGGCAAGGTTGTCACTTGGCGGAAATGTTACCGATACGTTCGGTTGCTTTGTTATTACGCTTCAATATTATGCACATAGGTAAATAAAACTTAAAAAAGTATAAACAAGTTTCAATTATTAACAAGAATAAAATTAGGAGTTGCATGTGGCTAAGTCATAATGTATCGTAGAATTCATGCTTCGATACTTCAAAGACTATAAAATTATCTTGAAATTGTTTTAAGTAATTTTTACATTTTAGTTTTTTGAAGACGCTTTTTACTTTTTTTTTTAGGTTTTATTTCTTTGGTTGTGGACTTGTATGGTTAATACTTATGCCAGTGTCAAGTAACAACCAGTGACAATTATCCCTAATAACATTTTTGTCGCTGCATATTGAGAAGTACTGAGAAATTCTTGGGAGATTTTGACGACATTATCTCAAGTACTTAAGGCGCCTTCGCAGTCAAATAACTTAAGGCGCAGGTTGAGCAAAATGTCGCGCTAGTCGTTATTTGTGCGCTATCTATTTATTTACCTATAGTGAATAGGTATCTTTTAAACTCACAATTTTCAATGCTTCATTTTTAATATATAATTAACTATCATAATCATAATTAGATAATATATGAAAATACATAATTCTAATATAATGCAACTAATATACCGAATAAAAAAATTAAAATACGTTTATCGTTGTACGCTATGTGTCGTCGTACGTCTTACATATTTCTTACGCAATATATTGTAGCGAGCGGCGCGCCGGCCAAATGCTCAAGGTTGTTCGCATGGAGTAGCCCTTTAAGGTTTCAATACTCTATATTCGATACATCGGACTACTTGTTTCATCGTTTCCACTGATATTTCACATGCGCAAACACTTAATACACAAAATTACATCACTTTTCTACCGACTTCAAACTGGATGAGGTACTCAAGTCAATTGTGTGTTTTTATGTAAGATAAGATAAGATATTTATTTGTAGAAACATGAGTATACATACAAAGCATGCAGGTTGTTCAGATATATTAAAAGGTTCAGTCATGTTTGGCCTTTGTGGCGTACAAATGTATAAATCAATGAAAATATTACAAATAGTATACAATAATTGAAAATGAAATATTATTAAAGCATTATCTAATTAAACCATTATTAAACTATTTTTAACAATTTTATCAATAAATCTAAATCTAAAGAATAAATTATATGTCTGTTAATATTATTTACTATGAAGATACATTATATTTTATTTGCTTTATACAGTGCCAATAATAGAATTGCTTGTTACATAAGATTTAAATTTTATTATTCAAAAATTCTAATATGCTATAGTATGCTTTGCCTTCTAAATATAATTTCAACTTATGTTTAAATATACGGGCATTCTGTTCCTTCCAACATTTCGGAAGCTTATTATATATTAAAGGGGCCATGCAAAAAACACTTTTTCGCATCAATGCAGTTTTTGAGCTATGCAAACATAGAATAGTATCATCGCGTCTGTTGCGACTAACTACATCTGATAAACGTGGAAATAAGTGCCGATTATGTTTAACAAACATGGCAATTTCTAAAATGTATAGACATGGTAATGTCAGTATTTTATATTTTATAAAATAGGGTTTGCAACTATCAGTTGGCTTTAGTTTAAACATGGTCCTAATACATCGCTTTTGTGCTTTGAAAGGTAATTCTTTGTTAGTCGAATTGCCCCAGAAGATAATCCCGTATCTTAGGTGCGATGAAACTAAGCCATGGTACGCTGTAAGCATCGCATTAATGTTAAGCACTTTAACCAATTTGTAAAGTGCATATGTCGAGTTACTTATTTTTTTGCTAAGAATTTCTGTGTGTTCTTTCCAATTCAATTTCTTGTCAATCGTCACCCCGAGGAATTTGGCAGTGTTGACTTCGTCAATTATTTTATTATTATATTGGACCTTAAGATTAGTGGGAGTTGATGAACGTTGACTAAAATGCATTACACAAGTTTTATTCAGATTAATTTTTAAGTTATTATTATTTAACCATTTTATTATTGATATAAGAGAATTATTAATGTCATTATTATAGCTATCCTTCTTATTGCATTGAATCGTTATGGTGCTATCATCTGCAAAGAGTGTTACTGGTTGAATAACGGATTTAGGTAAGTCGTTTATGTATAACAAGAATAGTAGTGGGCCTAACACACTTCCTTGTGGTACTCCATATTTAACTACTCGTTCATGAGATTGAAATATTTCTTCATATTTAGTTTTTATATTTATTGAGGCTATTTCAGTGATTTGCTTTCTGTCGTATAAATATGATTGTATTAGTTTTAGCACATTACCACGAAATCCATAGGCCTCCAATTTAGCCAACAAAATATTGTGTCGGACATAATCGAATGCCTGGGTCATGTCAAAAAAACTGTACAGACAGGGTTGGTTTTATCAACGTTAATTATAACTTTATATAAGAAATCATAGATTGCCATGTTTGTAGTTCGGTTTTCTCTGAATCCTTTTTGCTCGTTAACAAGTATGTTATTTTTTTCAAGATACTTACTTAATTCCTTGTAGATATATTTTTCATAAACTTTGGAGATAACACTAATAAGCGTAATTGGTCTGTAACATTCCATGGATTCTCTATTCTCTTTTTTAAACAAGGGTTTTACGATCGATTTTTTTAAGGCATCTGGAAAAATGCCAGTGCTTATGGTTAAATTAATGAGGTAACTTAAATGTGTACATATTTCTACAGAAACACATTTAAGAATTTTCGAACAGATTCCGTCATGACCCACGCTGTTCGTGTTTTTTAATGTATTTATTATTTTATCTACATCTTGTGGCAGACAAGGGGGCATGAAGAATGATTTTAAGCTATTTGAAATTTGTGAGGTAGCCTTATTTCCTGAGGTTAATACTGGGATAACTTTTTCAATAAAATAATTATTAAAAGCATTGGCTATTTTCTGTGGATCTGTTATAATCTCGTTATTTAATTTTATTTTTGTAATAGGGTTTCGAGGTCCTTTGTTCTTAGAGTTATTAATTATATTCCAACTGGTTTTGGACTTGTTGTTTGATGTTTTAATTTTATAAATATTTTGTGCATATTGTGTTAGGTGGATAATTTTTTTAAATAGTTTAGAGTACGTAGTAAGTTTTGTTTTATTTGCCTCATTAGGGTTTCTTCTATATTGCCACAGAAGATGTCGTTTCTTTTTGCTGCATATTTTGACGCCGCGTGATACCCACTTAGTATTTTTTGTAGTATGTATGGTTATAGTTTTATTAGGAAAGCATAAATTGTAAAAAAGAGAAAATGTCTCCATGTAATCATTATAAGCTATGTTGGGATCACTTGTTTGATATATTTTCGAAAAAGATAAACTACGTAAACAACTTTTAAATTTAGTAACATATTCTTTGTTGTAATTACGGCTATTCATACGCCAGTATTTAATAGTGCAAGACTCTTGAACGGGTAACTTTATTAATTGCGCTGTGTGGTCTGACAATGCGAATTCTAATATTTGTATCTTACAGGACTTTTTACAGTTATGTGCAATATTGTCTATGCATGTTTGACTTTTTAGTCTAGTGGGCTGATTTATATATAATTTTAAATTGTGATTTAACAGTATACATTCAAAATCTATGGTTTGATAATTTCTTTTTAAGACATCTACATTGAAATCCCCTGCTATGACAATATTATTTAAGGGTTTCTTATCAAGTTCTTGCAAGAGTACGTGTAATTTATCCATGCACACATTAAAGTTAGTATTTTTTGGAACTCTGTAAATACAAACAATAACAACCCTACAGCTAATTAATTCGATAGCACAGCACTCGAAGACACCAGTTTCTGATATTTTAGCAATTTGTTTTAATTCCTTATACTGGTGGCCACTTCTTACTAATATGCACGCTCCTCCTCGTTTGCTTTCCTTTCGGGAGTAACATGCCGCAAGCTGATAATTGGGTTATATGTGTGAGTTACCTCATAACTTTTTTCTGGGTGAACCGATTTCGATGATTCTTTTTTTATTTGAAAGCTGGTGCTTCATATGTGGTCTCATATAAATCGATCGATCAAGGTTTGACCAATAGTTTTTGAGTTATTCTTAATAAGTTATATTGAAGTCGGTTGTACAAATTTTCTTTTTTTAAATTATACTTATAAAAATCTACATTAAACTACTTATTTAAGCAATAATTTTACAGGAACAACCAAAGATTTGTTATATACTGACGTTAGGGAATAACAATCCGCTGCCGGCTAAGTTCCCGCCAAAACCGAAATGTCTTTGAAGGCGATATTTACTTTTTCTACTGACTTCAAAAAGCAGACGGTACTCAATTCGTGGCAGACATGCAGCCTATCAGAGTGTCGTTTTTACAAGAGGTCGGTGTGTTCCAGGGCCCAGTGAGTATGGGCGGCAAGTAGGGAATGCTGTGCGGCGCCGTGTGGTCCGCCGCGCCGGTGAGCCTGCGCGGGCTGGCGCCGCCGCTGCCGCCGAGCCCCGCCCTGCTGGCCGCGCTCGTCATGCAAGCACTGCAGGACCGCATCGACGATGAAGCCAGTTTCCTAGGTACGTGCCTTTCACACTTCACCTTTTAAAGTTAAGGCGAGGATTTCCTCCCTTCTCCGCTGCATGCATATATCACCAACACAATTTAAGCGTGAGACTTTCGGTGAACAATATGTTATTGATAATGGTTTATTTGTAATGTGTTTTCTAAAATGAAATAAAGGATCTAAATAAAAGTGCAGCCGGTGAAGAATATAATTTAATAATATGCCCTTAATATTATCGATAAATATTATATGGTTATCGGTTAAAATAACGAGAACTCGAATGTCAGTTTTTTCCCGGTAATTAAATACACTCACCGTATGCATTAAGCTGCTATTTTACGCTGGTATTCTATGAAAGCGTGGTCCTTTCCCGGTAGAGTCGATCCACTCGTGTTGCTATAATAATATAGCTGCAGCGTGGCTCTACAAAACGTGTATTTTTTTATTAGTTTAATTATTTCATCAGACGCCATTTTATTTTATTAAAATTTTAGATTAAATCAGGTTGTTATAAAACTAAAATGTGTACATGTATAATGTTCTACTGTTACGACATCTTACTTCTACCAAATAAATATTTAATTTAGAATAAGGGTGACAAACGTGCTCACAGTCCATCTGGTGGCAAATGGATGCTGTGGCCCGTAGAAATCATACGACTTAGGAACCTTCAAGAAAAGAGCTTACACCTTTCTAAAAGGCCGGCAATGCATCTGCAATTCCCCTGGTGTTGCAGTTGTTCATGGGCGGCGGTAGTCACTCACCATCAGGTGAGCCGCATGCTCGTTTGCCCCCTCTTCTATAAAAAAAATCTACATTTACCCTCGATTTGGAATCAAAATACACCAATGTCACCTATGAGGACTAAGATGGAATGCTTCGTTTCCAGTAAAAAGGGTCTCCGGTTCTCTAAACTCACCATACGAAACACAGCAACATTAAGCTGCTATTTTACGCTGGTATTCCGTGAAAGCGTAGTCCTTCCCCGGTCGAGCCGATCCATTCGCGCTACAACCATTGTGCAGCTAGCTGCAGCGTACCACGCACAAACAAAAATAAACAAAAACATTAATAAAATATGTTAAATAATAGCTTTGAGCTAAAATAACACATTATATAACACGTATTGATCAGATGTGATGATTCTAGTTTTCGTAACAATTAGAATTCTTAATTAGTTCTAATTAGTAAAGTAGTGTTGTAGCACAGATTAAATAATAGTACTACGGTTGTAGTCATGAAATTATTGTATTGAAAGAAAGAAGGAAATAAGAGTATATCCACTTCCCATCAAGTTGACTGTGTGCTCGTTTGTCACCCTAATTCAAAATAATTAAAAATTAAAAATTTTGTACAGCCGACTTCAATGTAAGCGACTTCAATATAGGTTATTTAAGAATAACTCAATAACCATTGGTCTAACCTTGATCAAATTCATATGGGAGCACACGAGAACTATCAGCTTTCATATAAAAAAAGAATCATCGAAATCGGTTCGCACAGTACAAAGGTAACACACATAAAAAAAAAACATACAGTCGAATTGGGTACCGTCTCCTTTTTGGAAGTCGGCAGAAAAAATAATTAATTCGTAGCCACAACACAATACAGTGCAATAAAAAATAATTATTTTTGGACCGAAGTTCCTTATCGGACGGCACGACTTTGGCGGATGGAGGCTAGGCGAGAAAAAGTGTTAGATTTTTCCGTCACGACCCCTTCTGACGTAGTGTAGTGACATTCTGTATGGGATGATAGAATTTCTTATGCCGGCACCATTTTACAAACACATATAGAGGTTAAGCTAGTAAAAATGTGTCGTTAGAAAATAAAGTCACCTCGCTGAGGATATTCTGCAACTGATCACAAGATGGCGCTGAAAATAACTTACGATTGAATTTTATGTAAGGTGCCTACGGCTAATAAGGCCTGTCGGCGAATAAGACCTAAGTAACAAAAATCGTATTTATAATAACCGCACTCGCTTAAAGAGATATTAACAGACTCCTATTGCACGATAATGTCTCTACAAGTTTGCAGAGACGCGCTAACCCGCGTCCTTCCACCAGAGTTGCATTCTATCATAACACGACCGCACTGCACCAATAATAAAAATCAGTCTAAATAAATCATAGGTATGTTTTGTAATATTACACTTAGCTGTCTAAAATCGTAATCTTTACATTTATGAATAAATACTTTGTTGATCTTGAAGATTTTTAATGATTGAAGGAACGTATCATTGTCATTTTTTTTTATTTGGTTTTTCTTAAATACTTGGTTGGCGGTTATTAAGACCTACTAAATTTCACTATAGGCCTTATTATACTCCTTTTTCTGGTGTTTCTCTGTTTTATTACGAATTTTATATTACTTTTAAAATGTTATAAATGCAAATAAATCGTACGCTTTTATTATTAAACTAATGTCGTATTGAATAAAACTATTTTTACGGATTTTATCGCGTTTAATTAACTTATTTTTATATTCTCGACGTTTCGGTTGCTTTCCAGCAACCGTGGTCACGGGGGACTGAGGTGATTGACGTCCCGATGTCAAAGTTAACCCGGAGTACCTTCAGCTTTTTAATTATTACTTTTGGTCCGATCTACGCAGAATGAACTAACTGTGTCTTGAAGTCTTGCAGTGGTATGCTTGGGTTTAGTTTTAATTTTATGAATTACAGGATCCCAAGCAGGTGGTAGTACCCAGCCTCCCTCTCTATTGAAATTAGGATGTTTTTTAATTTCAATAGCCTCACGTATCATCCTTGGCAGGAAACGATGTTCTTTCGCGAGGACTTGTGGTTTATCAAATCTAATGTAATGGCGGGGGCAGTCTAGGATATGATCACAAACTGCAGACTTCCCAGAACGTTGGTGCTTCACGTCAGCTATGTGTTCTTTTACGCTGCTAATGTCGTAGTCAGAAAAAGGCCTGGTTTCAGTTGTCCAAACAGTGCAAAGACAAAGTGTGTCGAAGAATTAACTTTGACATTTGACAGGCTTTGACATTAGAATCTATTAAATTACGTGTAAATTATTGGTCCTGCGCCTAAACTCCCTCGGGCTGTGTCGGAATGCGATTTGATGATTGTGAGGGAGTGCACCTGTGCTTGCGCATACATTTGGATACTATAATTCTGTACTGTGCTGATGGGCTAGTCTCCGTTGAAACTGGCCGTAGTGACAGAAATTTGGTTGGGAGGACACTCAACCCAGCAATAAACCCAATTTTCAACTCAACCTAACACTCAACTTCACTCGAGACACAACCGACGCACTGGTGATAATCACGAGGAGTGAGTTTGGTTGTCATTTTGTTCATCATTGTACTAATGACTTTAAGTATTGTTAGGCGAGGCAATTTATATATATATTTTTTTTAGAATTTTGTCTTAATTGCTTTTTTTTTAAATTCATTTATTCATACAAAGGTAAGTACATTATTTTTACTATTCTCTCGCCAAACTGCAATCAGTTTGTCGGCGAATACACGCTCTTAAACCCAATGATATTATAAAAATATCATTGCTTAAACCTATATATTATTATGCACTATCACCTATACAAATACAATTAATTATAATAAACAAAAGAAAATAAAAGATAGTTATATCAAATTTACCTACTACAATTTCATAATATTTAGAAATTATAAAACTAAAAAAAAACAAAATAATAATAATGAAAAAAAAATACAACACAAACAATACATAAGCAAATCAATTAAATATAAAAAGCGATTAATAAAAGTATGCAACAATATGTAATGTGTTATAGCTCTGTTAATAATGTCCTTTTCAGAGAGGATTTTAATAAGTTTTTGCTTAATTTATTTTTATTTTTATTTTTATTTGGAGGCGTTTCTCTTAACCATTTTATTTTGTTAAAGATTCTGGGTACTTGCTGCATTCATGTGATTATTGATCACAAATATTTAATATATTGCGTATAAATTAATTATTTGAGTTCGTTAAAACAGTAGGCCTTATTATCCTACCATAGTAAAATAAGGCCTATTAGCAAGGTTTTTAGAAATGTTTAATTTTGTTTTTCTTTATGGCAAATGTTAAAATTATTCGTTCATACTTTATATAAACTGTACTAAACTAATGATTTTTATTAAAACCTGTGGACCAAATTAGATATTTCTGAGTTTTTTATGACCTTACTTATTTTATTTAAACAAACAGCTAAGAAATAAATGGAATAAATTATGAACTTTTATGAGCAAGTCGTTTCTTAAATAAACGCGACGCCTAAATTAGCTACGTTCTATAAACAGCGGTCCGATATTCAAGATTTAGGGTCCCAGCAGACTAGCGAAAACTCGTAATAAATCCCAAATCTGCCTTCAACCGTACATAAAATTATCCTGGACTGTAATCCATTTTAAAGATTCATTATTAGGTTTTTATTTGTTTGCAGAATTTAACTTTTACGCAAAGGCAGTTGTAAGAGTAATTTTTACTTATGATAGGAAAATAAGTGTTGGAATGAAGTTACTTATCGAACGGTACGGGTTTGGCGGATTGGAACTAGACGACAAAAAGTGTAAGATTTTTTCGTCACTACCCCTTGTGTCATAGTGTATTTTATTTTAAATGACGCTTCATTTTAATAGACGCTAGTAATACATTTATTTGTATTTGTTAATCAATAACATAATACGTTTATCAGTAATAAGGAACTTCATTCCAACCGAGTGTTCCACGACACTCACGCATGTTTTTTTTATCGCACGAACGCACAGTCTACCTGATGGTAAATAGATGCTATGGCTAATAAATACCCTATTCTAACCTCGATTGAGAATCAAACTGCAGATGCGTTTTCGCACTTGAGACCTAAAATAGATGATTAAATTGAAATGCCTCGTTACCGCTCCAGTCGACCCACCTCCTCGTTACCAGTAAAGTGTCTTCGGTTCTCGGAATAATCTTACGATACACAGTTGCATTATGCTGCTATTTTCCTCTAGTATTCTGTGAAAGTGGGTAACATCCACGAT